GTCATCCATCCATCCACCCATCCATCATCCATCCATCCATCCATCCATCCACCCATCCATAAGTCATCCATCCATCCACCCATCCATCATCCATCCATCCATCCATCCATCCACCCATCCATAATCCATCCATCCATCCACCCATCCATCATCCATCCATCCATCCATCCATCCACCCATCCATAATCCATCCATCCATCCACCCATCCATCACCCATCCATCCATCCATCCATCATCCATCCATCCATCCATCCATCACCCATCCATCCATCCATCCATCATCCATCCATCCATCCACCTTTTAGATGATCTGATGAACCGACACTAAACCGGAGGAAAGTGAAACCTGGACTTCTCTCTGGGGCTGACTGTAACCTCATTTCTGCCTGTAAGGATAATTATCATTGATGATGTTTGAGTTTATTACACCTTAATATTAGCTGCCAGTTATGTGTCAGAACAAATGTTTTCCCAGTGGTTTATCTAATTATGACAGTTCCTCTGTCCTGCCATATACAGTTATCAGCTTCATTCTAAACGTGGCAAAGATTTGGGAATTAAATGAGAGCGGCGTCCTTCAGCTAAGAACGAAGGATTATATTTTGATAAGGCTGGAGCCATGGATGTCTCCTCATCTGCAAACGCCTGTGATGAATGTTGATGTGATGATGTAATGATGTGATGACGTGATGATGTAATGATATGATGATGTGATGATGTGGCATACTGAAGTATAAAATGCTTTGCTACCTGTTAGTCGGGGCCACTTCACAAGAACTGAGCCCAGTTGGTATGCAACTGCCTTCTGCAAACTCTAAGCAACTTCTCTGATCTGAGTAAGATTATAATTTCTATCAGAATCTGTTGTCATGTCTCCTGGTTATTTAATACACATTCACAATGAAGTGTTACTTAAAGAGTTATTCCTGGGTGATCTCTTTACAGGAAAAAGAACTGGAGAGAGAAAGCTATAAGTTGTAGACACACACAGCTTTCCACTAACATGACCAAACATGGAAGGAACATGAAGTTAAGTGAATCTCACAGAGAGTTAGTAGCAATTTCAGGCCACAAGATGGTGCTGTTTGATAAAGTATCATTCATTCTCCAGCACGAGAATGCAGTGGATAGAATTTTAATGCAATGCTATATATTTGTGTTTGTAAACACAGAATCACAAATGACGTATGCTTCTGTTGTGGTCAGAGACTGATAGTGTTATAAACCATTAAATAAGGTATCCTCTTTTTATTTATGAAAATATTACAATATTTTTTTAGGGAAAATTTCAGTGAGATTTAATTTTATTCAAACTACAGAAATGCTTTTTTACTATTAGGATCTATACATTTCTTATTTCAAATAAGATTGTAGACAGTAACAGAAAAGGAACACAGAAAATTGTATAACAGGGAGAAGCTTTAACAATAATGTATTTACTACAAAAACATGTAATGATAAATTAAATATATCAATTATTTTACAGAATTTATATGCGTTTACAGATTAGATTAGATGAGCTTTATTGATCTCACAGCGGAAAAATTCACTGGTCACATATTGGCATAATAATTAAAGAAGGTGCAAACAAGGAGGAAAAAGGTGCATTAATAATAAACAATATATATACAGTATATCAAGATAAATAAGGATTAAGGTGCAAGTGTACATGTATCACACACAATGAAAAACAAAATAAAAATAAGAAATAAAAAAATAAAAAATACAAGGGAGTAACATATGAGGTGTCATATGTACAATAACATCAACATCATTGTTTGCGCTCTTATAAACAAATGACAAAAATAAACAGAATATATTATACAAAACTGGAAAACCAATGTTGAACATTTTATTTTAAAACAGAAACTCCTGTTTATTTAAAAAAAGATACATATTTGTATACTTTTACGTATAAAAAATGTGTAAAAATATACAATCCTCCGCCTCTAAGATAATTCAAATGCCAAAAATGTGTTCATATATGAGCTGTATGTGGTAAAGAAGTAAAGATTGAATGCTGTAACTGAACATTCTGCTGCATATCGAGGGTGTGAAGTGAGCAAAAGATCTCAAGACATCAGAAAAGTGAAATTAGAGCTTGGAATAAGTTCTGCTGAAGCTGCAAAAAATATCTCATCCAAGCCAGAAAGACTCAAGCCAACAGTTCAGCAAATGACAAGTTTAAAAGCTTTGGAGGATTCTCCTAAAATTGCAAAAGACTCATTGGCTGTAAACATTAAGGATTTTCTACTTTTCCTGGTAGAATTGATCAATTATAGTGCTCAGATATGGAAGCCCATTTCCGCCACTCTGTTAAAATAAAATAAATGATCGAATTATAATGAGATCATTTATTTTATTTAAATAGACAACTATGACGACAAAGAAAACTGAAAAAAAAATTATAATAGTGAAAGCTGCAGAAAGTATCTTGAAGTTAGAGATTTAAACTGGGAAACGGTTAAAAGTATGATGGGAAAACCAGTAAGACCATCAGAAACTGGCAGAGTGACAATAACCTAATGATACATTAGAAATCATGAGGACGAATTTGATGAAGTATTTATTATGTGGAGTTAAATTAAATAGTTTATAATTTAATTTTTGATTTATTAAATAATTAGTTGTTTTTTGTGGAGTCTTTTTTTTTTATCCTGGTTTAACTCCTCATCAGTTGGTGGCGCTAACGCGCATTAACTAGTTTGTCAACCGCCATCAAACACAAGAAGAAGTTTCGTCCTCCCCACCAGTAGGTGGCGGTATCCGTCATTAGGCCGGTCCGGTTCTGTTCATCTGCATGTGTAGAAGCAGCAGCAGCAGCAGCAGCAGCAGCATGTCTGTGTTTATGGACCTAAACTTGTTATTTTGTGCTGACAGGAAGCGTCTGCAGAGCCTGGTGGAAACAGCCGCTAACCGTGAGTCCGTCTGAAATCAATCCGCTCAGAGAGTCACTTTAAAAGCTTTAGTTTGATCCAATAAAGTGACTCCAGACACACATGGAGCTGAAGTGAATCTGCAGACATGAGATCCTTAGAAGCGCTGTGTTTAGGAGAGCAGAGAATTATTATGTTTAAACTCATCTTATATTTATATTTGTTTTTATTTTCAAGTCATAAAAGCTTTGGTCAAATTTACGACGGCCTATTAGGGCCGTTCAAAGACAAAGATAATAATAGGAAACTAAGTTTTCTAGTTTAAAGCAGCATATTTACGAGATTATAAAGATGCAAATTTAGAAGGAAACAAATTTACCAAATAAACTGACAAGTTTTCATAAAAAAGTATAAAATGTAATTCAATTAAATTCAGCTTATAATAAAATGTCCCATTAAATTACCTAAAATAAATTTAAAATTATGAATCTCAAGTTATTTATTTATTTAAAATGAAAAATTATTCACTGTATATGTATAAATAAAAACAGAATGAAGTATTAGTGTGTATTTTTAGGTGGTCTCCACTCAGTTGGATTATTATTTCTGGGTCCCAGGCTGAAATGTTTGGGTGGTGCAGCCTCTAACCAATCATCCTCCTCCATGATGTTTCTAATAGGACGTCTGTAACGCTGCAGAACTGTGTGATGATGAAGGGCTGACAATGTTGAATTCATTCATCAACAAACTTTGTAAACTATTATAATGAAAAGAAAACTAAAAAAGACCTGATAAAATGTTAAATAGGCCAATAATTCAGACCAGAGTAGGAAGGTGGATTTAAACTAACAACCTTCCCAGTTATGCCCGGTTGTTTTTTTTATTTTTATGAAATGAAGTAACTCAATATAACTGTCAGTTGGATCATTTTATTTGCTTTAATGACGCCATGTTTGCTCCTCATTCAGTTGGATTCTCCACCGTCGCCATCAACTATGTGTTTGAACCCAAAGCCAAGAAGAAACAGGTGAGTTACTGATGGGGGCGGGGGGGCTGTTACCCCCACAGGTCACCGTCCCGCTGTGCTCCAGACCGCCTACAGCCTCCGCTGTTCCTCCCGTCCTGCTCCGCTCCCTACGCTGCAACTTCCCTGAAGCTCGGGGAAAGCGTGCGCCACATTAGTATTAAATTCTTCTGAACTGTCTGGGACAGTTCTCATTGATTGACATTGGTGCGTACGTGAGTTAAGCCTCTGTTTGTTTCCCATCTGCAGGAAGTCCCCTCCCCGGTACCAATCAGTGAGCTGATAGGTCAGCTGCCCGTGGTGCAGGGTCGCTCTCGTCCAATCAGAGTGCTGAACAGGCTGACGGTGGTGATGTCAGAGGCTAATCACTTTGTGAGTCTCTCGTTGGAGATTATTGATCAGAATATCGGATTAGAGGGGTTTTAATCGGATCTTTCTGTGTCTCCTAGAGGCCCAACGCCACAGAGTATCGGCCCTTTGACCTCCTGGCCGTCCAGCCCACCACAGAGAAACTCTTCCATGTGAGAAACTGCACGACGTTTTCAAGACTTCTGTGTTATGGATAAAATGTTCCACAACTTGATGCTGTTATGCAACTTTAATAGATTTATTGCCAAACACCAGTAGAGGCGGTAAATAGTTTATTTATTCAAATAATATCCAGACAGTCATATATTGTTTATGGACACACGCCCCCTACTGGCTGAGTGTTAGAACAATAAAGGAAAGTGAATCGCAAATATGGAATAAATTCACCACAACTTCCATTCAAAATATCAGAGTTTATTAACAAAAATCTTTCATTTCCAAGTCAAACATGTTTCACTTAAAAACTGTTGACTAAAACTAGTGAAACTCAACTAAACTAAACTACTATGTATGCAGAAGAAGGGAAAACAACCAACATCAATGAGACATGCAATGATGTCACAGTTTAGCTGGATTTATGTTTCCAAAACCAAAGTTTATCTTTGGGGTGTGATTAAATTAGCTTTTCACTAATTTAGAGCGATTGGAACTAATTCACAATGAAATCCACGAAGAAAACAAAACAGTCTTTGGCAAAATAATGTTTTGTTTTTCTAATGATTTGCTTAATCAGGAACCAATAATGTTTAGATAACAGATTCTTTACCTTCTTTGATTGATCTAGCAGCTAACAAACATGAGGATTCGCATTAAATGAGTTGTGGTCATATTTGGTCATCAAAATATAATGACTTATGCTAGTTTCCATGCAAAGTCAATGGTTGACGCGCATCAAGTTGCACCAAAACATGCTGCAGCGCGTTTTGAGCAACAGGCGCAGCGCATCTGAGCAGCTGAAGCAATGTGTCGGGAGCGTTTAAGCATCTGACGTGCACGGCGAATTTGGGGTGAATTCTTTTTTGTTTTTGTTTGCTATCTAAAAGGATGTTTTGTTAATTGAAATAAAAAAAATGAAAATTTTAAAAATGTTTTTAATGAAAAAAAAAAAAATGTAAGAGGAGCTTTACTGTTTCCTCAGATGTAACTTTTTTATTCAATTTTTCTATTTTTTTTTTACATTTTCGTAGATTATTGTTTTCAAATTTATTTTCTATTAAATTTCTATCTAAAAATACGTTTTTTTTAGATTGTTTTTTAAATTTTGAAAATATAATTTATTATAATTATATAACTTATTTTCATTAAGACAGTTTTCAACTTTTAAAAATTTCATTGCATTTTTTTTTATATTTAACAAAATGTGTTCTGTATTGCAATAATATTGGAGCAAAGTTTATTCCATACATGGGATGTAATTTATAAAACTTAATCTAAAAATCAGAAATAATAATAATAATTAAAAAAAAAAAGATTTAAAGAATAAAAATTTGAGAAAAGAGCAAAGTTACTCTGAGGATTGCATTTTTTCTCCCCAAATTTCTATTTATAAAATCTGTTCTTGGCTTGAAACAATAATGGAACATAATTGACTCCGTATTGTGGCTCATATCTGGTCATCTTTCTGCTCAGGCGGCCTGCTTGCTGTGTGACGTTGACATCGTCTGCATCTCTGTGATGGAGAAACTTCCCTTCATCTTCAAACGAGCGCCGGTCAACGGGGTGAGTGTCCTATCCACCACCTACTCGCCTCTTTCTGACTCTGTCCTTCATGTACGTGTCTTTGTGTGCAGGCCATTGACAGAGGCGTGGTGTTTGAGGTGTCCTACGCCGCGGCCATCAGAGACTCCACCATGAGGCGCTACACCATAGCCAACGCCGTCAGCCTGATGGAGAGCTGCAAAGGAAAGGTTGGTGTCCGCGCTTGCTGCCAGCTGCTTCCTGTCTCTTTACTGACGTGAAATATTGAACGTTGTTCCTTTTTCAGAACGTCATCATCTCCAGCGCAGCTGAGAAGGTCAGATGAATCCTTTTTTTTCTGGTCAGACTTTAAACTTTGGCTACTGTTGCTCTCTAACTTTGTATTTCTATTTTTTTTAAAGGCTTTGGAAATCAGAGGACCTTATGACATCACCAACCTGTATCCTCCAATCACTGAACACCGACCTCTGATAGGCCCCTCCCATCTAAACTTACAAATTTACTTAATTACTTCACTATTTAATTATTTATTTAGCACTTTTAGAATTAGTATCTCAGATTAAAAATAAAAAGTATGTGTATTTATTTAATTGGTTATTCATGTATTAAGTGATAATATTTTGGATCTTAACACCCCAGTATTCACATCTGCTAGCGCACTGCTTCAAACTAAATATTTAGTTTATTAAATAAATATTAAGCTCCAAACTAAACATTTATTTAACTAACTAAATATTTAGTTTATTAAATAAATATTAAGCTCCAAAATAAATATTTAGCTAGGACCAAGCTAGCTTAACTTTTAGGTAGCTTGATGCTACCTAAATGTTTAGCGAATATGCAAATTCACCTACCGAAAAGCGGAAGTGAACTACCAAGGTAAAAGCCTGGGCATCTGTAGAAAACTCCTACATCTTCGTGACACTGACAGAAAATCACATTAGTATACGAAAAAAACGGAATAAAGTCCAAAATGGAATCTTTGAATTAGTTTTGTCTGACCGTATACATTTGTTTCAAGAAATGGGCAAATGTTTAATGTTAACCTGCGTCACACGCACATGGGGCGTCACTGTGTTGCCATAGAAACAACTGCTTTCCTTACAGCTTCAATCAAGGCCCCTTCTACTGCTGCGAGTGAGACTTCACTGGGAGCGACACTCGATAGTTCAGGGTTAGTGCTTAGAGGGTGTTTTTGGAAATAAGCCGACGATAAAGTGACTAAAGATAAATCAGTCTTTTGTCTTGAGCTCTAGGAGTCGTATAAAGATACCCAGGCTTTTACTTTGGTAGTTCACTTCCACTTTTCGGCTAGTGAATTTGCATATTTTTGCTAAATATTTAGCTAGCACCAATCTTGCTAAATATTTAGCTAGCACCAATCTTGCTAAATATTTAGCTATCACCAATCTTGCTAAATATTTAGCTATCACCAATCTTGCTAAATATTTAGCTATCACCAATCTTGCTAAATATTTAGCTAGCACCAATCTTGCTAAATATTTAGCTAGCACCAATCTTGATAAATATTTAGCTAGCTTAATGCTAGCTAAACGGTTAGTTTTTTTTAATATTTAGTTTTGAGCTAAATATTTATTTAACAAACTAAATATTTAATTTGTAAACTAAATTTTTATTTTACAAAGTAAGATTTTTATAAATGAATAAAAAAAAAAGTAATAGTCACTTAAAACATGCTAAATAACCATAAATATTGCTCCTAATTTTTGACTGTTGAACTTTGCAAACGGCGCCCCCTATCTTCCATCGTATCAATATATATGAGCTGATGAAGAAAGCCTCTCATGTCGGCCATCGCTCAGCCATTCACTCGGTTTGTTTTCCTGACGAGTCTCTCAGAGGGTTGCTGTTCGGCCTGTCATTGGCTGATTCTAAGGAGGCCGTCTCTTCCACATGCAGAGCCGTTTTACTCCACGCAGGTAAATCATGATGACGTTTCCAGACTGTTAGCTCCGTTTATCTTTTATTTGGATTCTTTCTTTAAATCACCTTTTTTCGTTTCATCTTGTCTCTTTGTGTCCAGAAACCAGGAAGACGGCCAGTGGCATCATTTACACCATGAAGAAGCAGCAGCAGCAGGAGGAGGAGCAGGACGCTGCAGGCTGTAGGTTATCAGTCATGTCTGATCTGCCGAACCTCAGATGTTCCTTTAGCTCAGCGGTCGGCAACCCAAACTTTTCAAAGAGCCATATTAGACCAAAAAAAATGCAATCTGTCTGGAGCC